ATATAAGACACCAAAATTAAAAGGTAAGTATAATCTTTATTTTTTAAAATTTTAAACAAAAACTATTTTTGACATAGACTGTTTTTCAATTTCCAAGTTATCATGTCTGAGTTTTACAAAATCAATCAAGAAATGTATGATGCATATTTGATTATGACTAGGTGCAGTGTTATCATTATAATTAGTTAGTTAATATTAATAATAGGAAGAGAGCAAAGAGGAGGACAAGCATTATAATCATGGTCATCTGGGCAGCTTCGCCAGAAAGCTACAGCTTTATGCTCCCCAGGGAACCCCTGGCCCATTCCTTGCAGATCACTGTGGGAAGGGATAGAACAAAAGGGGAAATAGGCACATGGGCAGTAGAAGTCCGAGTGATGCAGGGGAAGTGCTTGCCTGTCAGTCTAGCCTGGGTTACAATGGACTGACTAGGGGTTCGACCCCCTCAGAAGTGGGCAAAGCTGTGGTTAAAATGGCCAAAGGGGCTTTCTCTCTCCATTCCTCTTGTTCACTCTTGCTCTCCCTTGTTCTGTGACCCACACTGATCTGTGCGCTTGGCCTTTCTCTCTCCATAGCAATGTGGCCTTAAGTAGCCTCATGGCCCAAGGCTGTGCGAACACCACACGCAATGGACTGCGGCTGGGAACAAGCTAAGCTAGCCAGAGGCTGGATTGGACTGGACTTTAATATGAGGCAGAAACGATGAGCAGTGGCTTTGACTCTGGCCCTGCTGAAGACAAGATTGGACTTCTTCCATGGTGGGATGGACAGAGATGGGACCTGGGAGCAGAACCCCCTTAATTTTACATCATCAGTAAAGCTTTCCATGAAACCCCATCCTCCTGTGGGGGCCTCAAGAAATTCCTTTTCTCATGGCACCCCAAGGACTCCACTTCCACCGATAACAGAAGTGTTTCATTAGTTTCAGCTTCTGGATTTATTTCTATGGATTTTGCAATACTCATAGATAAGTCACTATGAATAATCACAGTTGATTCACATCTTATCTTATCCAGAACAGTGCTATCGTACTTCCTCATTACTCCTAGAACTGCTAAGTGGATGTGATACTTTTAATTCAATAGAGGGAGCAGGAGAAACCTTAAGTTCCACATGAAAATGAATCCAGCAGGCTGCACATATTATGAGCTTGTGGGGTGCAATGTGTCAAAATTTAGCATATGTACTTATTTTTAAAAAATAATTTAATATGTTTAAAGTATCTGAAAAACAATGTAAAAATAAAATATCCATAGACCTTCTGTTCTAGTGTTCCAAGTAAAATAAAAATAATCATTGGCGTGCAGTTTTTCTTTCTTTCTTTCTTTCTTTCTTTCTTTCTTTCTTTCTTTCTTTCTTTCTTTCTTCCTTTCTTTCTTTCTTTCTTTCTCTCTTCCAAGGACATTATAAGACTGTTTGTCAATGAATTAAAGGACATTATAAGACTGTTTGTCAATGAATTAGGTCTATATGTTAGGTAATAGTAGCAATGGTATTTTTATGATATGAATAATCATTCTATGAGTGAGAAAGGGAATATTCTTTATTTATTCTCAATGATTCAAAAAGTTTAATATATTTTGTTGGCTTCTAAAACTTAACCATGATGAATTACCTTCTCAAGGAATAAGCATCAGCATTACTCTATTCTAATGTATAGGTACACAATGAGGCTCAATAGGCTGAAGAAAGATTGAGAGTGCCTCCAAAGGAAATGCCAGTTCAATATGATTGGTTCAAACCAGGCTGTTGTTCATACAGTATCACATCCACTAAGAAAGGAGATGTGTGTATTTCTAGAGATATATTTGTCAACAAGAGATATGTTTGACATACACACACCTTAACGTGTCACTCAATATATTTGCTCTAAATCATTTATAGCTGTCTGGAATTATCTTTTCTTGTTAGTTTAATGTCTTTAATTATCTTTCTTCACCCACTAGAATGTGAATTTGTGAGATAGGACACACAAAACTATCTTGATAGCTATTTATCTTTCATCTATCTAGAAAGGGATAAGGAGCAGGAAAGAGAATGCAAGAGAGAGGAAAGGAGGGAGGGAGGGAGAGAAGAGAGAGAGAGGATGACAAAGCCGATGTTAAGTATTAATAACAGGGGAAACTAGGTGAAGGGTATATGATAATACTATTCTTGTCCTTCTTAGGTAGCCTGACATTATTTGTAAATAAAGTTACAAATGAAGATTGAAATCGATAATCTAGAAGGGAGCTATAAAGAATAAGGCTGATATGGTTTAAGATTTTGGAGTTTCTCTACTTACACAGTGATTTGAGTTATAGTTGGTTCATAGCTCTCATGTTGTCTTGGAGGCCTATTTCATTCTACCTTATAAATAGTCTATTGATCATCTATGTCAAATTGCCTGAAAAGTAACAAATATTAAATAAATTTTAAGGTATTTATATTAAAGATGTTTTCAGAAAAGAAAATAATAATAATGAAAATACGCTACTGATCTCTATACTAAAATAAATCATCGCAAACTAAAGAACAATTTTAGATAATTTGTCCTTTTTTTACTTTTGAATGAGAGAGATGTTAAGGGCCTTATTGAAGCTTATAATTCAGCAAACATATTGAATAAGATATCCCTGTAATGAATACACAATTGAGGAAGCATAAACCCTGATTTTAGGGAGCTCACAGTCTTCAACAGAAAAGGAAGAATAAACAGAAAAAAGTAGGCATTGGCCAATATGTTTTAAAAAATATTTATGGTCAGGGTCATAAGTAGAGTCATAATCACAACTAGGTTTTGCCAATGAGCTAAGATTTAAGGGGATGCTGATAATCACCAATTGCTCCAAAAATATTTCACTTCAGTTTATTCCAATGGCCTGAGATGACTACTCTAGAAGGCACATGACTTGAAAGAGGTAGACCTCTAAGTCACTTTCTGGTGGAATCCTTCAGGTCGTTTCTCTTTATGATAGTCTAGAAGGGAGCTGAGTATGAAAGTGAAGGTCAAGTAAGGGCATGGAATGAAAGAACTGGAGGCAGCCCTGGAATGAGAGGAATATAGAGAATCAGAAAGGGGAGAATAGCTGAGAGTATACATTGCCTTTACATATGTTGCTTTTGGTAAAACTTGTTTATACAGTGGCTTTAGAATTAAATAATCCAATAATATAAATGTGTACACTTTCTCCGTTGTGGGACTATTTGAAGATAGTCTCTGCATCCAGTCTAAACTACGCACAAGAAGAGAAGTCCCCCAACTACCACCATCTGATTTTGTGAAATGTGAACCAAGTGCATCATTTCTTTGAAATTTTAAGCTAAAAATGAAAAAGAATCAAAAGGTATATTTATAGTTGGATTAAAGAATATTAACAACAGCTTGAAATAGCATCAGAAAAACAAAACAGCTTCTATGCAAGCAAACTGGCTGCACACAGGACGTAGAGAGTGGTGAGTACGTTTATACAAAATCAACAACAATGCTTGACAGCTGCAATTAAGCCATAATGAGTGCCCTGCTCAGAAGTCACCATTGGACACCACTCTGTTCTGTCGGTTTGGTACACAGTGGTGCTCAATAGGCCAAGAAAATGACTGCCTTTTCTCCTGCAGTGCAAAGAACACACACACACACACACACACACACACACACACACACACACACACACACATTATTTGGATCATTTTTTTAAAAAAACAAAGTATCTGGACTATAGGTTTATACAGAGGTTTAAAACTATCTGTCTGTTAAGCTAGAAAGAGAATGACACAGTAGAGGTATTGCTGCAATTGCATACATGCAGATATAACAATGAAAGAAATGGATGGTGACCTGCTTTAGCACATTCTAAAACTGACCTGCAATCAGGGCAGACAACTCAACTCCCTGAAAACCTGGATACTGCTGTTAAAACTCTTTCAAGTTATAGTGTCCGGCCTCGCTGACCACTTTTTCTCTTGAAACTAGAGAAAGTGATTAGCAGAAAAACTGTCCTGGACCTATCTCTGACCCAGTGGCAGCATTATCAGCTCCCTGACCCGTATTCCCACAGAGCCCTGTGTTTATCTTATGTTAGTATTACTATTTTACACCTCACACTTATTGTACTTCCCACCTAACTCTCTTTGCTAACCTTGAAGCTTCATCTCCTTCCTTATAGGTCCCACAATGGGAGGCAGCAGGAGCAAAGACTGCACTCCCTGGGAGAGAACAGTGCCTGACCCCAGCTTTGGGAGGAGGTGGCTGCCAGAGCAGGGACCAGGTCCTTGCCTGGGAGAAGTGAGACCACACAGAGGTCTCAGAGGCCAGAAGGCAAGGCCAGCAGCTCAGAGAGGACCAAGGAGGGCAGGACTAGTCAGAAAGGGGCTGCCCTTGCTGTCTTTTAGGACTTGGTTGTGGAATTCAGCAAATGGGCTGTAGTTCAACTGTCTAGTGGCCAAGTTGGTGGAGGGCTGGGCTCTGTCTGGAGACAAAATCCATTTGATCCAGTGATCCCACTTCTAGGAACATATCCTAAGAGACCTGAAACACCAATCAGAAAAAAATATATGCACCCCTATGTTCATAGCAGCACAATTTATAACAACTAAGATCTGGAAACAGCCCAAGTGCCCATCAGCAGATGAGTGGATAAAAATCCTGTGGTACATTTACACAATGGAATACTATGCTGCTATAAAAAGAAGGAACTGTTACCCTTTGCAACAGCATGGATGGACCTGGAGAGCATTAGGCTAAGCAAAATAAGCCAGTCAGAGAAAGAGAAGTATCACATTATCTTGCTCATATGTGGAAACTAATGAACAAAATAAGCTGATGAACAAAATAGATCCAGAGACATCGAACCATGGAACAGACTGATGAATTTCAGAGAGAAGGTGGGGGTTGGGGTTGGGAGGGGAGAGATTAACCGGAGAACTTATATGCACATATGCATAGCCCATGGACACAGACAATGGTGTGGTGAAGGCTGTAGAGGGGAGGTGTGGGGAGGAGGGGGTCAATGAACAAAAAACACAGGCAAACAAAAGAAAGTAAAAAGAAATAAAAAGTAAAAACATAAAAAAGCTATATGCTCATGTGGGCACAATCAGAAGCCTATAATTGATGTAGCATATTGGAAAAAATGATTTCTTTCTCTTTTTTTCGAGCTTGACTTTTCCCTTGACAGTTTTACATTAAATGTCTTATCTTTGAGTCTGTGTTTACCTTGCTGAAAGAGATCATTATGCTAAGAGAATATTCTATTCTGTTGATATTATTTAAGTAACTATTAATACAATTTTATAAATAGACATAATTAACTCAACACTGGCAACTTTCTTTGAAATTTTCTCTTTTCCTTCCTGAGCTTATTGTAATCTCTGACTGTAACTTGTAAACATCTGTCTAAAAGTGATAAAATATCCCCCATTTGGATCCCAATCGGCTCAGCAACAGAGACTATCATGTTTAAGAGCTGAGCATCACTGCAGTAAGGTAAAAATGAACAAACTAAAGTGTTCTAGTGGGAGAAGCTCACAGGCTAATAATCCCTCTAAAGATTCCCTTTATCCAAAGCTGAGACTTTAGGAGGGAAGTGTTAAAGGAAAATGATTACTAGAATAACATCATAAGTAAAACCCTCAATGGACAGAAAGTAAGCATTTTTCTTAGAAGATGAGTTTGAAATAGAATGTGCCAGATGCCCCTCCAGTGTCCTCAAGCCTGCCTGCTCCCTCTCTGCCTCCATAAAGGGTAGAATTTGCCCCAACATATTACCCCACTCTTTGTACCTCTGCAGACATCCGTTAATCCAGAGAAGTCTTTTGTGTCATCTGGAAATGGATATTCAAAAGGTAAAAACACCTTGCAGCCTTACTGCAGGTCCAAACTTATTACATCCTTAGCAAGTACCAGTGGAAGGACGAATCATCTTCTTGAATCTTTACAGCGAGGCTCCTACCAGCTGGCTTTTCCTCAGTCTCACAAAGCAACCACACACCTGGAAACCCAGACTTCAGCCCTCCTCTGTCCCATCTTATCTGCCCCCAAAGCTGAGTGAGGACTGAACATAACTGTTTTTTAAAACGTTTTTATGAATCCCTTTGATTAAAGAGTTGGCCATATTTTCTGTTGTTACCACAAGCTCTTCTGTTAATCCAGTGAACAAACATTTATGAAACACTTCTTTTATGGCCACTCACTGTGCTAGACTCAGGGAACACTATAGTCATGCTCTTTCCTTCATGGGAAAGACAGACAGTAAAGAAGGCTCAGCCCCACTGTGGTCCATGCTATGAAGATGACAAATGTGATGGCCTGAGTGAGGCAGGTAGGAATGGATGGATCAGGGATATCTGAACTGAGAATTGGAGCATGAGAATAAGTCAGATTTTCCTCGTGCACACATCTTATAGCGTTTTCTTTTTAATAAAATATCAATCTAATATCCCACATAAACAAAAGTGTGTGTCTTTTGTTTTTTCCCCTGAGTATAAAGGTCATGAGACCAAAAAGTGAGAAAACCACTAGCACTGTGGCTTATCCCCAGCCATGATTGGTCCATTTGTGGCTCTGACCTCAGATGGCGCCATTGTGATGGAATTGCAAAGCACTCCTATATAAGGCCCTGTCTGGGCCGAGGATTTCGTCCGTTATAGCCCAGGAAGCTGTTTTTGGTGACCTGTGGACTTGGACTCCTTTGCTTGTTGTTGCCATTGTTTGATCTTGTTTGTGTTCTTTGAACACCATGTCTGACTTGGCAACCTCCTCTTCCCACTTTTCCACCCCTCCCGTTCCCCAGGTGCACTTCGTTGGCGATTATGTGCTCCTGCGAACAATAGGGAAGGGAGCGTGGGCCACGGTGAGCTTGGCCCGGCACGTGCCAACTGCCACCGAGGTGGTTATCAAAACCATCGATCGAAAGGGCAGCTCTGAGTTGCCTCAAGAAGCCCATTGTCTTGAGAGCTTAAACCACCCAAACATCACTTCACTGTTTGAGGTGATTGTCACCCAGGACAAGTTTTACCTGGTGATGGAGTACGTGAGGGGAGGGGACCTCCGAGAACACCTGGAGACCTCCGGCCCCCTGACTGAGCGAGAAGCACGGGCCGCGTTCCGGGAGCTGGTGTCGGCGCTCCAGTACTGCCACCACAGGGGCATCGCCCACCGGGACCTGAAGCCCGCCAACATCCTCCTAGATGCCAACAGGAGCATCAAACTGGCCGACTTTGGTTTCGGGAAGGAAGCCAAGGGCCAGAAACTGAGCACCTTCTGCGGCACCATCTATTACATGGCCCCCGAGCTCTTGAAGAGACAAGACTACGATGGCTGCAAAGCTGACGTCTGGAGCTTGGGGGTGACCTTATACAAGATGCTGACGGGAAAGGTGTGTTATGCCCAGAGTTCGGGGTCCCCAATAATCCACGACCAGGGAGCCTTTTCCCATGCAAAAGCAAAGGGTCTTTTATTCAAGCCCGGGACTTGGTCCCCCTCCTGCCTCCATTACTGGATGCAAGAGAGAGCCCCGAGTTCTAAGAGAACAAAGAATTTATAGGGCTTGGGTCAGGGGGTTGGGGCTCACTCGGACCACTGATTTGGCTGATTCTGGTTGGTTGAGTGATGGCCGGGGGGGCTAATGACGCAAGGGTAGGGTGCAGCTAGGGTCTGGTTACACAAAGACAGGAGGTGGCTAGCATACTTTTGGCCTTGGGCTAGTTTCCTTGCGTTCCTATTGGCTGAGATAAGGGCTGGCTGAGCAACTGATACATTCTATGGCTTTTGCTTGAAGAGGAGTTAGGAACACGGTTATCAGCCCCGTTCTGTCCTTTCAGGTGCCGTTCCGGGGGGACAACATTGTACGACAGAGGCAGAAGATCCTGGCGGGGAAGTTTGAAGAGCCGAACTTCGTGAGCAGGCGGGGCAAAAATTTGTTAAATCGCTTACTCACTCTGGACCCCCAAAAGAGGCCGACCATGGAAGAGGTCATGGAGGACCGCTGGCTCAACGTGGGCCAGGAGGATGAGCCGCTGCGGCCCTACAGCGAGCCGCCCCAGGAGGACTTGGACCCCCACGTCACCGCAGTGATGCTGGGCCTGGGCTTCAAGCAGGACCAGATCCAGCAGTCCCTGACAAACAGAAGATTTGACAGAGTGATGGGGACGTACCGCATCCTAAAGATGACACAGCCTAAGATGCCCGGCCGCACCATCCGGGTAAGGCCCTACCCCTCCCTTGAGGCCAGGAGCATTTTATCCAGCCAGGAGGTCGGTCAGTCAGTTGATAAAAAGACTGAAGAGCCTTCCTGTTCACTAGGCTGCCCGGGGTCGAAGGTGACCACTCCCCCACCCAACCTGGTGGAAACCATATCCACCAGTGCCCCAGCCGACCCCCCTGCGTTCAGGACAGCTACCCCCAGCCCAGTCCTGAAGCGCGGCCCTGGGGGCTCGCCCACCATGGGCAACAATAGCCGCAGCAACAGCAGTGTCAGCAGTGGGGGAGCCGCAGGGGGAGCCGCCCATGAACGCGGCCTCCACACCGGGCAGGCTGAGGAGGAGAGGGAAGACCTAGACTGCCCAGGGTCGAACGCGACCACTCCCCCACCCAGCCTGGAAGCCATAGCCGCAGCTCCCCCAATCACCTCCACTGAGTTCAGGACAGCCACCCCCAGCCCAGTCCTGAAGCGCGGCCCTGTGGGCTCCCCCACCATTCGCAACAGAAGCCACAGGAGCACCATCAGCAGGGGTAGAGCCCGAGGGGGAGCCGCGCAGGAAAGCGGCCTAGACACTGGGCAGGCTGAGGAGGAGACGGAAGACACAGACTGCCCGGGGTCGAACGCGACCACTCCCCCACCCAGCCTGGAAGCCATAGCCGCCACTCCCCCAATCAACTCCACTGAGTTCAGGACAGCCACCCCCAGCCCAGTCTTGAGCACCATCAGCAGGGGTGGAGCCAAAGGGGGAGCCGCCCCTGAAAGCGGCCTCCACACTGGGCAGGCTGATGGGGGCAGCCCAGTCTCTCCCTCTGGCCACAGCCAGGGCCGGCCGGGGTGGCTTAGAAGGGCCTTGAGAGTCATTTTAAAATGCACATGCTGTGGGGCACCCCCCAAGAAGAAGGGATTTAGAAGGACGAAAGGCCAACCCACGTAATTTTTTAAAATCTTGAACGGTGAAGGCGGGAGCACAGTTAACTCGATGGTGCAGGTGAGAGCTCCAGGAAGGCGGGGCACGTGGTCCGGGAGCTAAGCCAGAGGATGGACATAACCAGCTCAGGGACAGCGGCGCCAGAAAGAAACGCTGCCAGTTCCAGGAGAGAGCACGTGGTGTAGCCGACAATGGAGGCGTGCAAACGGCTGAAAAGATGTGTCCAAGATCATCATGAACTTGGCTCACTATCCCCGCCAAGGCCCGGCAGAAGGTGCGCTGAAGAACGCTGCCCAGCAGGCTGAGCCAGGGAACTTCTCCGCTGCAGTCCAGGTGGCAGGGCTCCAGGCCTCCCCCGACAAAGTCCGGGAGGCTGCGACCCAGCAGTCCCCCGATGCTGTTCAAGAGAAGGCAAACCAATGGTCCCCCGAAGATGTCCAGGACAAGACGACCCAGCTGTGGCCTGAAACTGTTCAAGAGAAGGTGACTCAGCGGTCCCTTGATGCTGTTCAAGAGAAGGCGACCCAGGGGCCCCCTGATGCTGTGTCGGAGGCGGCGATCCAGCTGTTCCCCAGCACAGTCTAGGAGGCAGCGACCTAGAGCTCCCCCAATGCTATCCAGAGCCTGGTTCCCAGGTAATGATGGCATTTCGGAGACCGGAGCGCGAACCAGGCAAGTTTCTAATGAAAACCCCTCTCTGGAGCCCTATTCTAGGTCCTGCTTCTGCAGCAGAAGCTGGGGAAAGTAAAGGGTGGTGTGGGTGGTTAAAAAAAAAAGGGTATTCAAGTTGGGTCTTGGGAAACATCTTTTCCAGAAAGCCTGCTGAGCTTGGAAGACTGCTTGGCGTCCCCTGGCGGTCAAGAGGAGAGGCTGCCCTCTCTTGAGAGTCCACTTCTCAGCCCCCACTGAAACTTCAGAGACTGGACTTTTTCCTGTGTCCCTTTCCTCCCCTGCTCCTTGGCTCCTACGTTTGTGGGGCTTGTTATTACAGTATTTGGTTCTCCCAAATTTTCTAATAAACGTGATGATCCAGAAAAAAAAATCATCAATCTTCTTTTTCAGAAACTGTTTCTCTACCTTGGTGGATGTTAAACATTTGTGGTGTGGGACTTTCTGAAGTCCTGGGTGGGCTTCTACTAGAAAAGGAGTTGGGAGAGAGGAGGGAAAAGAAAGGGAAGAAACAGGGGGCAAAGAAAGGGGGAAAGGAAGGGGTAGGAGAGAGAAATACCAGTGTTACCTAAATCCTGGGTTACTACTGAGAAGATAGCTGAAATTTGGGTAACACCTTTCCTCAACTGTAATAGAGTGCTGATAGGGTGTGAAAGAGAAAGAGTGAGGTGCAAAGGGAACAGTGATAATGGAGAAGGTGAGAGGAGTGGGAAGGGGTGAACTCTCAACCCATTGCTTCACAATGGTGGTGACACTGATAAAAACCTGTTTATGAGCCCTGCTGTGTCATCTGCTCCCAACTCCTTTGGGAACTCCTTCAAATTTCTATTAAATAACCCTTAAGAAACACCTCCTCCAAATCAGACAGACCAAAGAATCCAGTCTTTTTATTCCCCATGACAAGATGAAGAAGGCTAAGCATAATTAGAGACAGGGTGCACATTCATCCTAGGTTTTCTCCAAACATTTCTGACTTGAGCTATTCTATCCTATTGATCCCATAAGCACACATCAGCCTTTGCAGTTCATGTGCCCAGACTGTTCGTTAAGAAATAAACTGGTGATAGGAATGCTCAGGGATATGAATGATTCCAAAAAACTTTTAAGCTCATTGGTCCTTTGCTCCAGATCATGTCAATCCTCTTCCTGGAACTTTCCAGGGACTTGCATTGGGTCCAGAAGAAAATCTAAAATCCTTGCCATACTCCTCAAGCCCCTATAGAATCCGATCCTTACCTCCTCTCCCCTTTAATCACTACCTTTCAGTCCTATTGGCCCGCTTTCTGTTCTGTGAACATGCTGAGTTTATTCCTGCCTCAGAGCCTTTGCCTTTGTTCTTACCCCTGTGGAGAATGTGCTTTTACATCTGGTTTTCATGAGCTGCTTTTCCTGGATCACATCTTGATTAAAACTCCCATCTTCTCGGCATGTCACCCCCAACAATCCTGCCTAAATTAGCACTACCCCAGACCCCAATACCTTCTTGGGCATGGCCCTTTTAAATCACCTTCATGGCATTTACTGTCCTATATAATAAAAGCCTAATATGCGAAGTGGCCGGTCATCCGGTACTTTGTTCAACCAATCAAAATGTACTATGTAAGCCGAAACCAGTTTGGGTCAGTGGATAGAGTGTTGACCTGCGGACTGAAAGGTCTCAGGTTCGATTCTGGTCAAGGGTATGTACCTGGGTTGCGGGCACATCCCTAGTGGGAGATGTGCAGGAGGCAGCTGATCGATGTTTCTCTCTCATTGATGTTTCTAACTATCTCTCTCCCTTCCTCTCTGTAAAAAAAATCAATAAAATATATATTTTTAAAAAGAGTAATATGGTAATGATATGCTAAGGCCACTCAACCACTCACTATGACACGCACTGAACACCAGGGGGAGACAGTTGATCTGTCAACCAGTCTCTATGGCAAGCACTGACCATCAGGGTGCAGATGCTCGGACCAGTAGGTGAGCTTGCTGCTGTGGTCTGGCCAATTGGGACTGACCAAGACAGGCCAGACATGCCCTGGAGCCCTCCTGCAGTCCCTCCCTAGCTGGTCAACCTCCCGTGTCCCTCTCCAGCCCCAATCATGCACCGGTGGGGTCCCTTGGCCTAGCCTGTGCCCTCTTGCAATCCAGAACCCCTCAGGGGTCCTTGAAGGGCTGGTTTTGGCCAGATCCCACAGGCATAAAAGGCTAATATGCAAATAGACTGAGCGGTGGAACAACTGGTCATTATAATGTTCACTGACTACCAGGGGGCAGACGCTCAACCCAGGAGCTGCACCTGGTGGTCAGTGTGCTCCCACAGTGGGAGTGCCTCTCAGCCAAAAGCCATACTCACAGCTGGAGAGTGCAGCGGCAGTGGCTGGAGGCTCTCCCACCTCCATGGCAGCACTGAGGATTGCCAGCTTAGGCACGCTCCCCATGGGTCCCTCTGCACGCAGTTAGCCAGCCCCCAAGAGCTCCCAGACTGCAAGAGGGCACAGGCCAGGCTGAGGGCCCCCCCAAGTGTGCATGAATTTTGTGCACCAGACCTCTAGTGATCTATAAGCATCTTATTTACGTATTTGATGACCTTTTTTCCCTCTTAGAGTATAAGCTACAGGAGGCTGAGTCTGTCTCTGCCTCACTCCTACAAAAGCATCTAGCACAAATAGTTTCCCAACAAACAGTAGGTATCCAATAAATATTTACATAATCAATGACTAAATAGAGGTATGTCTCATCTCCTTTGTAGTTAAACACAGTGTATGGCACACCACATGCCTTAGAAATGGGGAGGAGTACCAGTCACTGAACCCGGGAAGATCACTAGCAAGCCTTTTTTTTCATCAGAAAATGAAGGTTACTCTTACATATCACTAGATTAGAAATGCACTTCAGTAAAAAAGAAGCCCCGATTCACTTAGGCTTCACATGGTGCTGATTTTTTTCCTAAAAAGGTAAGTTTTTCTTTAAGTACAAGGAAGGACCCTTTGGGGATTCCCAGGAGCAGGGATCTGCAGTAATATCCTTGGATGTAAGGGGGCTAATATTAATACTACTAGAGACCCGGTGCATGAAATTCATGCACTGGGGTGGGGGGAGGGAGAGGGTGTCGGTCAATCCAGCCTGCACCCTCTCCAATCTGGGACCAGGATTGGGCCTACACTGGCAGTCAGACATCCCTCTCACAATCCGGGACTGCTGGCTTCTAAATGCTCGCCTGCCTGCATGCCCGATCGCCCCCAACTCTCCTCCCCTGCCAGCCTGTTTGCTCCCAAATGCCCTCCCCTGCTTGCCTGCTCACCCCCAACTGCCCTCCCCTGCCAGCCTGATCACCCCCAACTGTCCTCCCTGCCAGCCATCTTTAGTCATCCATCTTGTGATGATGTAAGGGTCCAAGGGCCAGAGAGCCACCTAGGCTTTTATTAGTATAGATTCTTCCAGTTTTTCTGTATCTTTTGGTATCAGTAATCTAAGAGGTCATCAGTACTAATCTCCAGTTAAAAGTACCCACAGAAATTACATGGAATCTTCCAGATAAACACTCCAGCCTACCTAAGATGTGCGAATGAGGTCTGTTAGCATAACCTCCCAGTTAGAACTTGCTCATTCCTACTGATCTTAATAGTAACCTACATCAGTGTTTTGAAAATTTCCATTATGGCTCTCTCTCTATAAAACCAGTTTTATAAAATTCAGTTTGTGTGCCTGAATTATGTTCCAATGTATATGTTTTTACTTGTATGTACACACATTCGTTTTGTGTGATATACGGACCCCAAATAAGCAATATGACACACACACAAAAATCATCTTCAAACCATTTATTGTCATAAAAAAGTGAAAAAATGTTCAAATAAAATGAGGGCCTTTACAAGATAACAATGATTGAATTTACAAAAATTGTAACCATGGCCCTCCCAAAAAAGACTTGGAGAAGCTTGTATTGAAAGAACAGCTTCTTCGCAGAGTGTTTTTCCTAAAATCTAATTGATGCACTGGTCACAAGATGTGAAAACACAATCCCATGAGGAGGTGCTGTGTTATTCTCTAGAACTATTTAAATGCTGCACATGTTTGGCCAATGACGTGTCTAGTATATTTACAATAAACAGAAATCAACACCAAAGTCATTAGTCTATTTTTATAGAACTAGCTCCATTTTTTTCTATGTAGGCGAGGACCTGAGTCCTGCAGGAATAAGGAATGATTTTAATTAAGGCATCTTGTAAAATTTCCTGCATATTCTTTGATATTAATAGGCCCCATTTTCTAAATATTCCGTTAGAAACTGTGGTTCCTACGCCTCCTACTCTAGGCATCCCTCATTCCTTCCTATTTATCCCACCGATGGAAAGCTGAGCAGCGCAGTGGAAAACTGTCTGGGAGTCACAGAATTGACAGGAAAACTCTGCTGTGTGCTCTGTGCTGGGGTAACATTACAGTGAAAGGGTTTCACATTTCCTGATTTTTGCCCAGCTTTAATTGAGTTATTTTTCATTTGGTAGATATATGTTCCAGGATGGAACATAATACAGTTAGGACAGCATCCTGTGGGACAATGTGACTAGACATAGCCATGAAAAGGAAGTGGGGTTAAGACCACTGGCCCCAGATTGCTGCAGGAAGTGAGATAGGTCGGTGCAGACAGAAGCTGTCAGCTGCCCCCAGTTCCTGAGCACTGAGTTGAAAGATGCTCAAGGAGAAGTTGACAGGAGTAAATGCTACTGTCTCCTAAACGCTACATGGCCATTAGGAGAAGACCTCCATCAAGATATGCCCTCTGGGGAAGTGGTGAAAAATGGGCAAGAAAGCCCAGAAATGCTAACCTCTGCAGAAATCATAGAATTAAGTTCTCCATGCACTTACTGAGTAGTAAAGCCGTACATTTGTAGAACTGAATTTCTACAAATCAGTTATTATTATGCCAACAGCTAAGATGGTATTATTTACAAATAGCTATAGAGATTTAAATCATTTCTGTTTTTTTATAGTGGCTGGGCAAGACAAAAAAAAGTGTTAGCTTTACAAATAATTCTCATAAATAGATGAGGAATTATAGTAACACAAAGCATAATGAACATTACAATATATAAAGAATGAAAACATTGCCACAGTAATGATACTACAGAAACATAAACTCCCAAATATCAGAGCAGGAGGAAAGTGAGGAAGGCGGTCCCAGAGGCCACTTGAAGAGATCCCTGCCTGGTTCTCCTTTGTCTGCATTGAGAAACCGGAGGGGTACTTGGTAGGCCCTTCAGGTCAACACTTCTACACTCATAATTCCCTGGCAAATGAACAACATTGCTAGGGGAGGACCATGCAATTAGCAGCTACTTCTCTGGAGTAGATCAGTTTATCACATCTTTTCTAAAATGAAAAGAGACT